TATTTGTGCTTGGGATTGCTCCGACCCATGGGCAGGACCTTGCCCTTGGCCTTGTTGAACTCCATGAGGTTTGCCCGGGCCCACCTCTCCAGCCCGTCCAGGTCCCCCTGGATGCCATCCCTTCCCTCCAGCCTGTCGACCGCATCACACAGCTCGGTGTGGTCGGCAAACTTGCTGAGGGTGCTTCGATCCCACTGTCCGTGTCACCAACAAAGATGTTAAACAGCGCTGGCCCCAACACTGACCCCTGAGGAACACCACTCGTCACTGGTCTCCAATTGGACATGGAGCCATTGACCACAACTCTTTGAGTGTGACCATCCAGCCAATTCCTTCTCCACCGAGTGCTCCATCTGCCCAACCCATGTTTCTCTGATTTAGAGACAAGGATGTTGTGCGGGACGGTGTCAGATACTTTGCAGAAGTCCAGGTAGATGATGTCAATTGTTCCTCCCTTATCTGTCAGCGCTGTAACCCTGTCATAGAAGGCCACATCAAATTTGTCAGGAACTATCTGTCTTTAGTGAAGCCATGTTGGCTGTCACCAATCACTTCCTTACTTTTCATATGTCACAGCACAGTTTCCAAGAGGATCCGCTCCATGATCTTGCTGGGCACAGAGGTGAGACTGACTGGCCTGTAGTTCCCCAAGTCTTCTTGTTTTTCCATTTTTAAAAATGGGGGTTACGTTTCTCCCTTTTCCATTAGAAATTTCCCAATTCCTTTCTCCTTCACTTATTTTTACTTTTTGTAAAGGTGTGGACTTCATCTTCTAAGTATTTCTTCAAGGTATCTACAAAACTTTGTGTATTGGGGTATTGTATTCTTATTTTTTAAAGATTACTTTTTCATACCATAGTGGTGTATGTACTTTTGTGTGAGAACTAACCTATTTTGAAACAGAAGTTGCATCTTGTTTAATCAGTTAATAAAACATTATACAAAAATGCTTTATTCTTTTCTCAGTTGCTTTGAATAACTAACTTTCTCCTTGCGATTCTTACTGTATTTGTTAATCCAGTGATCTGTTTTTTCTGTTTCAGTCAAAAGACAAAATGATGAGAGGATCGCGCCGAGGGTGTGTTAGACTCAGGGTAAGTGTTGTTTTATTCAGTATTTAATGACATACTGTGCATAATATGGCTTAATGGAGAGAACTGCAAGGAGACTTTTGAGGTTTGGCTCTATTCCTGACACTGCAAAATACTGAAATAGTGAAAGTATTTAAAGAAAGAAAACATTAGAGGTCAAGTGATGTGCTGGGCTACCTACATTCTGTAATTTTATATATTGTATTAAAACATTGTACATTTTACATGGTATAAAAAAAAGCATTATATGACTAAGATGGGTTAGTAGCATGCTACGAAAAAGTTGCTGTTTGCAGTTCTCATTTCTTTGTGTGTGGAGATACAAATGTATATACATAAATGTTCTGTAACTATGGAAGTCATTGCAAAATGCTTCCTTTTGTCCTTGTGGTTTGCCTTTATTCTCTGTGTCCTCCATTCTGCCTGTTTGGACACCCTTTAGGCCTGCCACTTGACTGTGCTTTTGCTTAGTGAAATAGAAGAGGACAGGAAGGGGAAGGAAGAACACAGCAGGCAAAGTTTTTGAAATATCAGCTGCAGGGGGTACAAATTGGGGAAACAGGTAAGAAGATGCAGAGTGGGAAAGCTGAGTGCTACCTGTTTGAGGCACTCTGAATTGGGACAGTTAACCTTGAGTGCTGCTGTTGTAGCTTGAAACGACAGTACTGAAGTGAGGTGGGAATGCTGTGACATCTTTGCACATGCCTGGTTTCTACCTTGTGGTCATGCACGTATCAAGAAATGTTTATTGCACAAGTCCTTTTTCTATTTTTTCTTCCTATTTTGTATAGAATCTCTGGTTTCAGTATACAACAGTCTTCTGAAGAGCTGATTTAAATAGGGGGAAGGACTCAGGAAGATAATGGGTATGAATGGGAGCATTTGGAGTGTGTTGAAGTAATAGAAGTATAGGGAAGGTGAGCTGTAGTTTGATGTGATGAGTGTTGCAGCAGAACTCTGCTTATTCCTTCTGTTGTTAGTTCTTTCTAGTCTTTCTGTGGGCCTAATAAAGGGGTACATGTAGCCTTTCCAGAGTCATACAGAGAATCTCCATTTACGTGGATTCCAGATGACTTTTTGCACTTTTCTTGTTTAATGTACTGGCATCTTAATTTAGAATTTCTTTAAGGGTAAACTCAAACCCCACTGTCTAGAACATAACATTCCCAAAGATTCATGAGGATGTTTTTTGCATTGTGCAGAAAAATTTAGTCTGAAGAACCATCCTGGCTTTAATGGTGTTGTAAGCCTGTCAGTGTGGAGGTTGGCCTCAGCCTGTCAGTTTAGGAAATATTAAAAGTGAACAATCTGTTCAATATTGCATGATCCATCTTTATATGTATTTAACATAAAACAATCTCTTTCTCTTCTCCCATCTGCCAGTCTCCCACCCCAAATTACTCTGGAGTTTTCTGAAGATTTGCCGACTCCCCCATCCTTTCTCTAAATGTGTGTGGGGTTTTTTTGTAAAGGAGGAAGGAATCTTTCTTTTTTCTGCTTTGGTAAAGCAGCATTTCTGGCAGATGACAGTGATACTGATAGCTGAACAGATGGGCTTCTGCAGTCTGAAATTCTATCAAAGAGGTTTTCTGTTTAGAGTAATTGTTGATTTGTAACTGTAGGTGTGAACATAAACAAACAAGTAATTTAAGTAATTTGGCTAAAATACTTCCTTTTTTCTTGAATGGATTTTTAAAAGCTTGTTCCTCACCTTTTTGCTCTTGATACACGTTTCATAGGCCTGAAGTTTCATCTTCAAATTCTTTTGTTGACTGTCAGAGGGTACTTAGGAAGGTGTGTTCATAGAGGAATCTGTGTCATCTGTACTATGCTTAAGTCCTGCTTAAGTTTTCTGGAATATACACTTAAGCTTTCACACTAGGTTTTCTTTTACTTGTTCATATGTGTTATCTGCATGACAACAGAAGCATCTTCTATGCTTATGCTCAGACCCTTTGCCTCAGCACTGCAATTAGAACGTGTGGACTTTAGGCAGGTTTGTGCTGAGGTCGCAGACAGTGGTGTGCTCTTCCTGCTCCTCAGTCTTCTCCCACCACTTAGGAGGGAGTCAGGACTTAGCTGTCCTCATCTGACCTTTTCAGCCTTACATTAATTTTACTTATATTCTCTGGGGAGTATATCTTGGTCATGTTCTTGGTGTCTGACTTACAGAATTTTTGATGTAGCTGGTGAGGAGAATGATATTGTACAACTTGCAGTGATCTTCTGATTTATTGTGTAGCAAAACATGTACTTAAAGTGCCAGACATTTTTTATGTCTTCATATATTTAGAAAAAAAAATAAAATTCTGGCAAAATGGATCTGGCCCATCACGTCATGTTACTGGCACACTGCATGATTACCAGATAGTCTCTGAATCTAATGTCTAGTCATCTGGTGGTTGTTGTGTCCTGTCACTAAAAGTATTCAGAATTGTACTGGCTTGGGTACACTTTTTATGTGCTGCTTCTGTAGTGATCACAGAGCTGTCCTTGAAAAGCCTGTATGGAAGATACTCTTGGTGAAGTTAAGTGGTACATTTTTGGCAGTGGAGGGAAGTAAAAAGTTCGAAGCTATCCTTTCCTGCTATGTAGCCTTGAAGCTATACAGTTGGTGCTGTTCTTAAATAGGACCTGTTCCTTCCACTCTGGCTTGTGGTGCATGTGGTGGTCACAGCCATACGTGAGCTGGTACCATTGGCCAGAAACCTCATATAGAGGCTATGAAGCATGGGTATGAATAAGATTGATTCAGGTCCCTCTGTCCCCAAGTCTGTACCAAAACAGTTCTTATGTTTTGGCCAACCTGATATATACCTGACCCCCTGCTCTGCAGTTGCTGTGTGACACTGGCTGGCTGAAATGAAGCACTTGGAACTGATTCACAGGTGCTTGTAGTACTGTTACTTGCTGTTTACTCTGACAGTAAGGGCAGAATTTACCCTTTAAATATGTGCACCTTCCAGTGATATCTGTCTGTTTTGTGGGAGGGGGAAGGATAAAACGAGATCCTGATGCTATGTCTCCTGAAGAAGGAGAAGAGAAACTGAGCAAATTCATTGGTGGTTTTTGAACTAAATGTTACAATTTGTTGGAGTTGGCAGAGGCTCACTGTTGTCTTCTGGGTGGGAATGTGTTATTTATTGTTTGAGAGGACAGGAATGAAGATGTGGATAGATTTGCAAATAGCTAAGCACAGATGGCCTTTAACTCTACAATTTATTTGCATTTCCTTCTAATAATTCATGAAAAATTAGAAGACAAAGCTAGCTGCTTTTGATGTATTCTGGAGACTTATTGTTAATATTTACTTAGGGACTCAAAAGTAGATCATGCAGTGTACCAGTGACATGACATGATGGGCCAAATTCATTCTGCTAGAATGATTTATTTTTTTAATAGACTGGTAGATAAGATCAGGTCAAGAACTTCTTTTTGTAGAGTATCTATGAATTAGTATTTTTATACATGGGAAGTACTTATAAAATATTGCGCTCTGCTCTTTTAAAATACAAGGTGGAATGTAGTAGAAAACTGTTTACTATAATGATGCTGTAGCATAAAGCTATTGCAAAAAGAAAAGATGCATATTATTATCCAGAAAATCAGTTTTACAAATAATGTATTTTCTGCAACTAAAAATTTATTAAAGAGCTGACTTGCATCCTGTGACTAAACAGAGAATCCTTCTGCTCTTCACTGTATTCAGTTTGCTTCTAATTTGTCAATGCTTTTTAAATTCCAGTGGTGTAGTGATAGAGTGTATGCTGCTGATGTCACTGCTTGCCTTATCAGGATTTTGTTCTTTGTTTCACAGGGAGCTGTGATTGGTATAGACGATGAGGACGACAGCACCTTCACAATAACTGTTGATCAGAAAACCTTCCATTTTCAGGGTGAGCTGAAAGAAGAGATTGTTTTTTCTTATAATAGATTCCACTTGTATTTGATGGATGATTTTAAATGTTTGGCAACAGAACAGCATGAATGAGCAAACTGAGAACATTCTGGATCCAGGGGTGCTGCAGGTTAGGCAGGGATTTACATCTGCAGTGGATACATATGTGCTAGAAAGAGACTGTGGCTCTGGCAGGATTTGGAGATTAAAAATGTAAAGAATATATCACTCAAGGGGAGAAAGTAATGGGCTTCTGATTATGGGTTTTGCTTACAAAACGTTTCTGATCTCCGTTATCAAGATACAATTATGCATTTCTGTATGAAGAGAATCAAGACTGGTCTGAAGGTTGCAATTTGTATCCAAATAGAACTTAATGCTCAATTATGAGGAGACTAGAGGCAACATTTGGCTTAAAGGTGGAGCTTTGCTTCAAGATTTACCAGCTTGCATTCATTTCATCTACATTTCTGTGTCTTGTCTGCCAGTCATCATTTCTCTGCTATTATCCTTTTATTCACATTTACTAACACCAATGCCATCTGCCACTGCTATGTTTCGTCATTGCATGCTATGGTTCACCAGTAGAAAGGGTAAGGTACTATATAATTATGCACTCCTTAAATTATTTTATCTGCAGCAGTAGGACAAAATACTGTGATAATATTGACTAGAGAACTATTTTCTGAATGTTAAAATCCTAGGGAAGTGTGATGAAAATATTTTTCAACTAACATTTGTTAGTCCTTTTGCTTTTCCTTTAAAATGTAGTGACTAAATCATTTAATTGCTTTGCATAGAGCTGGAAACTGTAAATATCCAAGAGGCACATTTGCATTTAAGCAGTCATATTAATTTATATAAACTGGAATAATTCTATAACATATATTTTACTGTACATATTTTTAAATTAGTGATTTGGAAATTGGAGTTATCGTTAATACTGCTGTGTTTTCGAGAATATTTCTAATGATAAATGTTAATTGTACACCATATTGTCACTGGCATCCGTATTCCTTGTGCTACAGTTCTTCCTAAATGCTGCTGCTGTACTCTGGCTTTTTACTGCATTAAGCCTCAGAAACATACCTTCATAATGCTGAGCTCACAGTAGGACTTAAATCTACTGTTCCCAAGGATAACTTGATAAAATGAAAGCTAATTGCTAATGCAGTAATTGAATGCCATACTATGGCAGTCTTTCAGTACTGTGAAGCTAAATGCTGCTGAATATTTGAGAATTTGATACAGGTAAATCTAGAAATCTCTCATCTTTATTTATTAAAATATACTTTTTTAAAAATGTCTTATTTGCAGTCATTTCTTAAATGCCATGTTTTCTTTTGGGTAGATGTTTTAAAATAAGTTTGACAGTATTTGCTACGAGTAATGTTCTGCTGTAAGTAATATTAATAATTTTTGAACACCAGTTTTTTCTCATAACATCTCATGCTTTATAATCTCAATTTGTGTGCATTTCATGTCAGGTCTGGATTCATGTATGCTCCTTTAGTGTAGAACTAAGATCTTGTACACTACTTTCTCTACTATGTTCTTTCTATTAGCATATTATGAGAATAACACCTCTGATATCCAGAAAATTATAATGATACAAGCACAGTATTAATATATGTGGCTGTAATGTGAAAATGTAAAAAGACAGGTAAGATATTAGTGCTGGGATATTTCAGTATAAAACAGCTCTGTGGAACTGTATCTGTAGTTCTTACAATCACTGTAAATGCACCTCATGCAACCCTTGTGTTATATATATATATATATATATATATATATATATGTAAAATGTTCATTATATTAAATTAATTCAGTATTACACAGGCTTTAATTTATGTGAAATATAGGTTACTATCAGTCATGAATGGCAAATGGGTAAAAATGTAAATACTAAAAAATGTATTCTGAGACCACACAGGATATGTAGAACAGATCGTGGGAATAATCCATGAGAACATACAGTATTCCTAACAATTTCTTTCTAAGATTTTTTTTTTATATGATTCAGATAGAATTTTTGTTCTGTGAGATAGTCATAATTATAGATACATCCATCCTTTATAAAAGAAGTCTTGTACAAGAGAAGACTTCTGCAGAAATGGCAACTTTTTTAAAGAATCAATCTCTTCCTTCCTCCTTAGTGCCTTCCTTCATTCTCAAAGACAGCCAGGGATCCAAACAACCTGGAGCCTCATTGGGAAAATGTCAGAACTTTAAAAATACCAAGATTTCAAAGATCTGCTGACCTGTGTCTAAGTTAGGGTTCCATCTGCAGTGGAACGGTTTTTCCTTCAGGCTCGAAAAAAACCTGTTTTCATGTACTCAGACTTTAAGTACTGATTGGTGAAGACTTGAATCTTCTTTGGCCTCAGTGAAATTTTGCTGACAGGCAGTGATAGAGTTTGAATTTGGGAAAAGATAGAAAAACCTTATAGTGGATTAATTAATTATTTCTTAATGTGAATTGCTCTAAATTGCACATCTGTCTAACACTCTAGAGATGTAAGTAATGAGATGAAGGGCAAATAAGTCATTTAAAGATGTCTGATGAACTTCTCACAGGAATGTTCTTCCCATATCTGTATGTATGTGTGTAACTGAATTTCTGAAGCCCTAAACCTCCAGCATCTCCCACTAAGATTTGCCTGTCGCTGGATCTTGGTAAATTCTGAGTCTTTCCACTGTGTAGTTCATACTTTGTTGCTGCCTGTGACAGTCTCCCTCTATTCTGTTCGCACCTGTGCTTCCTAGTGGCCATCTCTGTATTGAACATTAGTAAAAGTTAAAAAGTTTCTATTACAAAGAAAATGTAGGCTTTGAATGATAATCATGTAAATATCAAATGATATCCATGTACTCAGTACTTGGGTATAAAGGAAAGAAGTTTATTGAATAAATATGGGCAATAAACCAAGCAGCATGTTTTGGTTTTACTGTCAGCTTAACTTTAGCTCTCCCGGAGTGCCCAGCAGATTTTTTTTTCCCTTTATTTTATTGTTACATATGGCTGTATTCATACCTGTTCACAATGGAGGGAGGAGTAGAATGTCCACAGAAATTTAAAAATACATTTAAAAGTAATGTATTTCATCTCCTGATTGGTCCTTGTTTGGTCATACTGTATATCCAGTTTCATGGCTTGATTCTAAGGCTTCTGAATTAGGTAGATCTCAAAGCACTCCCTCATGGGGCTTGTTCAGATTAAATGCAAAAATCCATTCAAGTTGCTTGCAAGACATTTGGGATAATACTCTTACTCTAATGTACCATTCTGTCAGGAAGCTTTTTCTTGGTAATATATTTTATTCTTGCTGTAATATATGTCCCTGTTCTAAGTGTTCCATAACCTTCAAACGCTGTGGGTTGTTTGTTTTGTTTTTTTTCTTTTAACATCTTCATATCATCACCTAGCTATAAGCTCTTTCCATTTGAAAAGTCAGTTCTTCTATCCTTCGTATCATTTAGCTGCTCTTTCTGCTACTAGATGCTCATGGCTTAAATTCAAGAGTGGGAACATGATGTTCAAGATAGTCTGGCAAGGGTATTGTTGCCTGCTTGATATTGGAATTGCTGTCTAATCTGAAGCAATAATGGGTTTTGTCTGAACTGAAATACTTCACTAAACACACGTTATATACAGGAACAAGAATTCAGATTTTTAAACTGCTACCTGAAAACTCAGCTCTTATTTTTACAGCCTGCAGCGCTGTTGCTCGGAAGGCAAATCAGTCTTGTCTCACTGTTTTTTGTAATAAAGGATTGAAAGATTGGAAGCAGTCCAGTGCATTGATCTGAGATGATTTTGCTTTAGCTTTTGTCTTTCCTATTTCTGCCACAAAAGTATCTGAGAAATGAAGCATGGATGTTGCTGTGCAACTTCTCCTATTGCATGAAAGCTGTCAGCTAGTAAAGGGAGATTTCTCCTTCTACCCCATCCTGAACCAGTGTCTAGGTTGACTTGTGGCGGTCTACCATCCCAGCTGAAATAGAGGCAAGATATGCACAGGAAGAGGTTGCCTTAATGTTATAGACGTAGGGAATTTTTATTAATGTGGGACACAGCTAAGGATATGCTGAGGTCCACAAAGGCCTTAGTTGCCGAGCAGTATCAGAATTTGAGATTTTAAGTAGTTGTATTAAGTATAAAAATTAAGTATAATGGTTTTAAAATAGTCAATATCTGTAGTCTTCTATAAAACCTGAATATTGTCCACCAAATAGATGACAGGAAGCTGATTGCCCTTGTGATATGAAGAGGCACTTTAGTCTATCAGATTACCCAATTTAAATAGCGATTCATAAATTGCAGCCTTTTCCCCAAAAAGCTTTGAGAGCTTTTTAAATTTGATACTGAAACATACATAGAATGAGATTTTGGTGTGAAATCTTGGTCTGTGCTGGTTTCCTCAGTGATGTTTATAACTGCTGTGACCACACTGTTTGTCCGAAGCTAACATTTTTCAGGGTCTTTTGGTGTTCTGGTGATGCTGAAACAGTGAATTCTTCTATGCTATGCTCAATGGTGCTTTTATATTACAGAGAAGGATGAGCAGCTATGTTAAGTGTAAAGCTTCCAGCCTCATCTCTTCATACATTTACATAAGAGCTGAGCTACTTGTCCTCCACCCTTTAAGTGACCAGCTCTGTGCTGCACGATGTTCTGCATCTCATCCTCTCCCAACTGGCAGAACTGCAAAATTCTTCTGCGAACCAGAACTGGGTTTAGCTTTTGCAGTATGATTTTTCTTTCTTCCTCTCTCTTCTGTCTCCCTCCTTTTTGCTATTAATGCATTATACTAATATTTTGAGTAGCTGGAGCCTGTGACCAGAGCACAGGGAATGGGTGCGTGGTTGTGCTTTTACTGTTTCATGCAGTTCCTACTTGTGCTTGCAGCATCCTGTAGTATAATTGTCAATTTTCTAATTGTACCATGAGTATGCCATTTTTAATGGGGCTACTTCCACTTAATTTTTATGGTCATATAGAAACACCTCCTCATTTTCCGTTTCTTGAGGTTGAAATAGCAGATTTCAAAATGTATGTTAAACTTGAGAGTAGCAAAGAAAATAATACCTTGAAACAGTATCTGTGTGATGTGTCCAATTGGTTTTTTCCTTCCTCTAGAAGAAATAGTATATTTATTGCTTATTACTTTTGGCATCAATATGAATCTGTTACCTCAACTGTACATATGATACGTGGCAACTATTTGGAAGGGAAGAAATGGTCAGAAAAGGTCTATAAGGAGGGGAGGGATACTGAGAAGTTCAATGCTTATTTCCTTCTGTTTTAACAAGAAATTCCAAGTAGCAATAAACTTGAGTTTGACCTGTTAAACTGAGAACTATTAGTAGTATTATTGGCTAAGGAAAGTGGTTATATTTTTGTTCCTCTATTTTGATT